CCCCCCCCCCCCAAGGGTAACTCTCCTGATTTTTTACAGCATAGGGTGCTGCCTGTTCTCGAACTATGGAATCATATATAGTGCGTGCTTGTTGGTGTCTAACTTCTTCTGCTTGACGTTATGTTTGTGAGTCAAAGGATGTTGCTTTTTAAAGAAGGGAAACGTCATTGGTCTCTAGCAGAACTAAATCCCTGAGAAATGGAAAGGAAGCTAAAGCAGACGTGAAAGAACTGTGAGAGCTCAAAAAATCACAAGCTTGTCACCAAGCCCTTATCCCAAAGTAAGCACGTTTACACTTCTCAGTTACGTTTTTTACATACTTACCCGTGTGACCGCGAGCAGTCACAGACTGCAGCCCTCCCGTCTAGAGACAGAGAGACCTTAAGGAAACGGTCTTCTTAGTAACAGAATTGTGTGACAATTCTGGGAATGTCCCTTCCATTTGTGAAGGTCTTAAAATGGTCTTAGTTATGAAGACAAAAAAAGGTCTAAGATGCAAACCTATCACAGGTTGATAGAGAGGGGTTAAAGTAAGAAAGAGGGGAAAACATGTGGAAGGTTTTTAATGACCTCACATTCCTCTACTCTGAGCAGAACGACATGGCACAGTCATGCCTGTTTATCTAGCATGTGGAGTCTGAACTGCAGTGAGGTTTTGTGTATGAGGATTTTTTTGTGGACTGTGCCAAGATGTATAGGTTATAAGGTGCTATAATTAATTAAAAACATAAATATTATTTCAAGTCTTACATCCAAGTATAATTCGTCTATGTCACCTTCTGTGAGGTACATTCCAAATGCCATCATCTCAAAGGGATCTACTTGACCTCAATTGTCATGCAGAAAGAATCCTTGATTTACATATTTGTACCAGGGACACACGGACTGCTCAGAAAGTCCCTGAAGTGTCTGGAAATTCCCGGAAGTACCCCCCTACCTTTGTTCCAGTTGTAGCATCACCGCACTAAGCTAGCACATGAGCAGAGGCTAAAGTTTTGTTTCAGTGCAAAATAAAATGTTAACCTGCATACGCTCTGTATTGAACTCCGTATGTCACTTGATGCCTGCACTATTGCGATAGCTTGCTCTTTTGTTCTTGCGCGTCTGCTTACCTAACGCCAGTCTGGCCTATGTGCTTTAGCAAGAATAGCTTTGGTGTGCTGAGCACTAACGAAATGCGAGGCATTGTGCGAGGCAGTTTATGATCCTCAGGACAGCCCTTGACGCAGCTACAACCGCTGCCCTCATTCTGCAGATCAGGAACCTGAGACTGACAGAGGTTGCTATTTGCCCAAGAACGGGAAGCGTGGGAGCTGGGACTCGGATTCAGAGCTGTTTGCTCCCAGAGGCTGAGCTCTTGACCACTGTGCTGCACCACCGCTTTCTCCCATGCTAATCATACTCCTATGAATTCAGAGCTTTTGCCAAATCTTTGGGATAGTAGGCAAGTTTTGGTGTGTAACATTTGATGTGGAAGAGTTGATTCAAGGCAGATCTTTTATCAGAATGCTGAAACAAGCCCTTATTATTTTATTTCGTGGTTTGTTTGACAGCCGCTTCTTACTTCAGACCTGCTTTAAATCTATTCTTGGAAGGACCTTCTTTTAAATTACGTTTAATAGATTCTAAGTGATGCTCCAGTTAGAGGTAAAGCTTCAGACTAGCTGAACCTGACTGCTGTTCAATGCCAGGAAAATTGTCTGGTTTTGAGTTCTGAGCTGCGCCATGTATCTGAGTGCACACACACACCCAGCCGTGGAAGATTTGTGTGAATGTCCCTGACTCCTTGGGTACTCCTTGGGACTCCTGCAAGTGTGCTGAAAAGTGAATAATTCTCCAAAAAAGGGGGAATGAAATATTCCCGAAGCTAACTTTACTGTCTTTCCTCGAAGTCTAACTTTCCTTCCTGACTTTTGATTTTCTGCTCTTCGACTCACCCAAACCTCAGTGGTTGAGGTGTCCTTGTTCCTTTCGTTCTTGCCCTGTCACATCAAAACAGCACCAAGTCGAGTTGGCTTTTCCTTCATAATGTAATTTAGCTGTGCCCATCTTTTCTATTCCACTGCAATCTTGCTAGATTAAACCCTCACCATCTCATAAATGATCTATTAGTCTTATAACAGATTTCTTTATCGCTGTTACCACCCTTACAAATTCTTTTCCAATCACAGACTAATTTCCCTAATCTCTCTTTTATCATTTCACTTACTTGCTTACAAGTCTTCCGTGGCTTCCCATTACCAAGTGGATAAGGTTCAAATAGTTTTCCTTGGCATTCAAGGCTTTCACATCTGGCCCTAGGTGACCTGGCCACATTTACCTTCCACAACTATCACACATAAACCTACCCTACTAGACAGTTGTCCAAATACATCCTGTCTACTAGATTACTTCCATATTTGAGTTACTCTTGGTTTACAAAATATGTGCAAAGAACACTTTTTATTTCACCACAGTGAAGCTGTGATTTACCTGAATTTTCTAAACTATTTACATAGTTTGATACCTTTAAAAAATAATAAAGCTATGTGTTTTAGACTCTTATCTCTTGGTTATGTATTTAACCACCACCCAGGAATTTTGAGCATCTGACAGCTATTCCGTTGTCTGCCTGAATTTGTAACAATTAAATATACTGGCCTTTGCTCTTTCTTAGAAAGACCCAGTGACTCTAGATAAGTGTTAGTTTCATTTAACAGAGAAACTGAAAAATCCGGTTGGTTTATTTTTCTAGGCTTAAGTCAATTAGCATACTTCCTTGCCGCTCTAAAATAATGATGCTTAAACATAAATTGTTTTTTCTTTTTTTTTTATTTTTTTAATCTTTATTTTTGAGAGAGAGAGAGACAGAGTGTGAGTGGGGGCGGGACACAGAGAGAGGGGGGACACAGAATCCGAAGCAGGCTCCAGGCTCTGAGCTGTCAGCACAGAGCCCGACGCAGGGCCCAAACTCATGAACTGTGAAATCACAACCTGAGCCGAAGTCAGATGCCCAACCGACTGTGCCACCCAGGCACCCCACAAATTGTCTTTTCTAAGCACTCAAAGTAGGGAAGAGGGTAATGGAAAGAGCACCAGACCTTGAGTCAGAAGATTTGGGATTCAACCTAATGTTATGTGATTTTGGGCAACATAGTTAAACTCTGAACTTCAATTGCTTTATCTGTAAAATTGGGATCATAGGGGCCCCTGGGTGGCTCAGTCAGTTGAGCGTCCAGCTCTTGATTTCAGCTCGGGTCATGATCTCACAGTTGGTGAGGTCGATCCCTATATCGGGCTCTGTGCTGACAGGTGTGGAGCCTGCTTGGGATTCTCTCTCTCCCTCTCTCTGCCCTCCCTGCTCATGCGCTCGCTCTCTCTCTGTCTCTCTCTGTCTCAAAAATAAATAAACATTAAAAAAATTGGGATCATAATACATTTCCTAAGTGTGTGGTGAGAATTAAATCAGAAGACTTCTCAAGGCACTTGGGACACACCATATTCCACTGGTCCTCACATTCACTTACTCCACATTTAATATTTCTGACGCCGAAGATGCATGTCACACTCAAGGGCATCTTGGCATTCTGTCATAGTTTACTTGATGGTGTGTTCTCTTTGTGGCCCAGAAAATTATGGTGTCTTCAAATTACTGGTATCTTAGACTTGAAGAAATATGGTGGCCAGTGCTCTCTCCCTCAGTGTTGTGCAGTATATGCATCCTCTCCATTCTCGTTCTGCTACAAAATGCCACTCCCCTAAGACTCATACGTATTGTTGGTACTTAAGTCTTTTTTCATGTATCTGCTAACTATGGAAACTCATGCCAGTTCTCATTACTGTTAAGTAGCTTCTATTGGAAACTTCTAGAAAGCAGAGACTCTCACTTTTTTTTGGTGAATCAACTTGCATAATTATATAAGGTTCTGTGTTTAATAAAAATTCACTTATTGGTACTAATTCCACTTTTGAGATGACATTGCATCCTGGGATCTTGCTAGTGTTTCAGTGATTTTGGTAAGAGCTAGGAATACCAAGGAGTGGATGGCTTGTGTTATTATATAGGTTTCTTACATCAGTGTTTTCTGTTGAAAACACTGCTTCTTCCCTCCTGGTACCTGCCTCGTCTCTAAGCCAAGCAGCCTCAGACAACATAGTGGAAATGCTTACGTAGCCAACAGGCCCTGCTCTGGCGATGGCAGGGTTTAGCCCTCTTTTCAACTAATGTAGGTTTTCCTTTAGTCCACAGCCATGAGACAGAGGGAAAAACTGTTCCTGCACTGGTGCTGAGAACTGGGAGGGCAGGAGGAAACTAGGAGTAAATAGATGCATACACACTGTACCTCTTGCATACCTCACGCATCATGCACCTTTTCCCAGAGTGGGCTGTTGTAGACTTTGTCCACAGCCTCTGAGCCAGTTTATGCCATCTGGCCGCACGTGTGTTCCCATTTTTATTCTTCTGTGGTGACCTGACAGGTTAAAGATTTCATCAATTCGGAGCTCCTAGCACAGTTATATTCTTCGGAGGACCAGAACACTCTGATGGAGGAATCTGCTGAACAGGCGCAGCGCCGGGATGAGATGCTTCGAATGTACCAAGCCCTTAAAGAGGCCCTGGTGATCATTGGTGACATCAACACCGCCACCACTTTCACTCCTGCACCGCCTCCTGTGGATGACTCCTGGATACAGCACTCCCGCAGGTAGGAAAATGGCCCCATGTCACCGGAGGCCTGCCAAGCTCATCCGGTACCATCTTCTGAGTTTGCTTCCAATATGAACCTGAAGAAAAAGGATAATGTAAGTCCAGGAGTGAGAGAGGAGGTCAGATTTTCTCAACCCCCTTCAAAAACAAGCACAAAACATCCCTACGGTGGAATGTTATGTGGTCATTAAAAAGAATAAGTTCTATACTGAAATGAAAAGATAGTCAAATTAACGTGAAGCTTTAAAAAAAAAAAAGTAAGTTGTAGAATGTTGTGTTCTAATATGTACAAAAAAGGAATTTAGAGAGAGAACATTGCATTATATGGCACTGTATTTTGTTGTGTTGTATTATAGAAGGCATTTGAAAAGGATACACAAGAAACAGCTACTGGTTGTCTCCACAGAGTGCACGGTTGGGAGGAGGGAACCTCCTCTCCACCACTGACTCCTTGTATACCTTTTCTTTTTTTAAGTTTTTTTTAAAGTAATCTCGACACCCAGCATGGGGATCCGACCCAGGACCCTAAGCTCAAGAGCGGCATAGTCCTCCCACCAAGCCAGCAAGCAGTCAAAGTGTAGTTTTTACAAAGCAACCAGGAAGCTATAAAATACTCTCTTAAAGATGAATTCAGACAGAAACCGCTCTGTCTCTCCCCAGGTCACCCCCTCCGAGCCCCACCACCCAGAGGCGGCTGACCCTGAGCGGTCCCCTCACGCGGCCCGCATCCGGCAGAGGGCCCGCGCCGGCCATTCCCTCTCCCGGACCCCACTCGGGGGCGCCCCCCGTGCCCTTCCGGCCCGGCCCGCTGCCCCCCTTCCCCAGCAGCAGCAGCGACTGGTCCGGAGCGCCCCCGCAAGTGCCCTCCCGGCCCACCAGGGCCCCGCCCAGTGTCCCCAGGTGAGTGCTCTGCGCGCAGGACGAGCCGGTGTGTGCTCTTCGGTTCTCTTCTTATAGCATGACAGAGTTTATTTGGAAAAGAAAATTGCAAAGATATTATCCTACACATTTGCGATTTTCACCCGGGAAGGGTATCGTGGGCAAAGGGTGGAGCCTGTGACACCATTTAAAAACCAATATGTGGTCCAAACCTCTCCTTTACCAACTGGCACACACTTAATGAGACTACAGAAAACTGGGTCCAAATGAATGACATTTGGGCAGCTGTTCGTAGAATCTGAGAGAGCACTTTGAAAGTCAAGAAAGAGCTGTGGTGGGGTTATTGCAAGCTGTGTGCGCCATAGGTCTGGAGAGTATCAGGAGCTAAGGCCTTGCCTTCTCTATTACCAAAGGAGTTCTAGAAAACCACTAACTTCAAGGAATATTATCCATCTGCCCTCTGACCTATAACTCTTAAGCCCAATATTATTAACTTTAATGTAGCCTGAGTAAAAACTGGGCTGATTAGTTTGCAACTTTTTTTTTTAAACTACGCATAGAAATTTTAACACGCACATGATGATTGCTGTGTGCAGTCACTAACCATACATGAGATGGAATTTTGTACATTTGAATAATACACCTTGGCATGTGTAAGCAGATTTTTCAGGCTTGTGAAACAAAATACTGAATAAGTAAACGAAACTTGAGACGTATAGAGTTGAAGCTATATTCTCACTTTTGTGCGTTTACAGTCAAATATGTACAATGTGTACAATTAGAGATTTTAAAAATAGAAGGAATTAGGAGGTTTTTTCCTCAATATCAGAAATTTTCAAAGGAAAGAACATTAGCCCATACAGAAATTTAATTTTTTTAAATTCAATTCAGAGGATTAAAATATTTGTATGCTTAATGAAGGAAAACCTTACGATGCATGTACCATAAAACAGAAGTGACTTCCTCCGACCCACGAAGCCTGAGTCACCTCACCCTCTGATTGCGGGCCTTACATTCATTCTGATCTTCATACTTTTGGGTGAAATGAAGAGAAGGGGCACCTTAAACATGTAAACAAAGGGTGGTGTAGCAGGAATGGCAGAGGATGTGAAATCAGAAAACCTTGTCTGTCACGGACCTCGCACAACTCATTAAACTCTGAGCTAGGGGTTCCCCATCTATGAAAGAGGAACGATTTCACCAAGGTCGTTGCCCACGTCATATGAAATGAGGTGTTTGAAAGAGCCTGATAAACTGCAAGGCACTGTGGTTGTTAGGGTTATCATCACTTTGGTCCCAATCAGAAAGGATATATGTACTCTCAAACCTATTTTTTTTCTTAAAAATAGGTTCAGTTTAGAACTCATTTGTGACACAGCTAAATTTCTAGTAATAATAGTAAAAGTGATAGCTAATATTTATTGTGTTCTCACTGTATGCTAGGCACTGTCCTAAGTGCTTTGCAGGTACATTTTTGTTTACTGCGCACAGCAACCCAAAAGGATAGGTTATTATCTGCTTTACAGATGAGGCGCAGAGTTCTGAACAACTTGCCCAAGGCTGCTCAACCAGACCCGAATGGAGCTGGGCTTTAATCCCAAGCAGTCTGACTCCAGAGCCCAGTCTCCTGACCACAATACCAGGGTTTCTCAACCTCGGCACTGCTGGCATTTTCCTTGTGGGGGGCTGTCCCACGTACTTCAGTATGTTTTGCAGTATCGGAGCCTCTACCCAGTGGATGTGAGTCGCACTCCTCCCCTCCCCCCCAGTTGCAACTATAAAAATGGCAACGTTGCCAGCGTGTTTGGGGAGGTGGGGAGTGGGGTGTAAAATCCCCCTCTCCTTGAGAACCACTGCACTACGGTATTTCAGAGATTTTTCCCTTCCATGTAAAAAATAGATTAAAAAGATCATTGTTGAGTCTCACTGCAAGTCAGATTAAATTACTGTTTTAGGAAACTTCAGATGGACTGGGAAAGTGTGTGCCATTGTGCCAGGAAGGTATGGACGCCACTGGGCAAGGGCGTTGAGAGTGGGAAGGCAGGAGTCCCATAAAGAGTCGGCTATTTTGTCTGTTTTGCTATAAGAAGGAACCAGAGCAACCTGGCGGTGCCTTTCCTCAGGAGCGAACATGCATGTCTCTGTTTGCTTGCTTGGCTTTTTTACCTCTTTGTTTCAGATAAGCTGGCTTGCCAATACCCTTCAGAGATTCTGTTGAATGCTGAATCGGTCTGTTAAGTGGGATGGAGTCGCCCTTGGTAGTCCCAAGCTCCTGCGCACAAGGTAGCAGGCAGGAACGGGTAGCTTGCGCTAGAGAAGGGGAGTCACCAGCTTTAATGCATCTGTGTTGGGGAGTTTATAGGACAGCAGTTATGTTATTCAAAATTTCTAGAATATTCTCAGCTTGGAGCCAGATCTAACTTGCCCTGGCCTTGAAAAGAGTCTCAAATGTAAAACAGAAATGAGAGTTCAGAGTAAAAGAGGAAAGTTGGTTTTTGTGCTGAGCCTTCAAGTTTCAGCGCCAGTTCAGCACAACGGGAGGGAAACCCCTCTGGGGGGGGTGGGGGGGGTCACCTGAGAGGGAGCAAGAAAGACTCTGTCAGGATCCTTATGCCTATTAAAGTTTAGCTTTAGATGAAGAATTCTGACCACATAAAGTCTGTTTTTAATAAAAGCCAGAGCAGGAATCCTACCAAATGCAAGCCAGAAATGGGGTTTAAGATTTCAAAAAAAAAAAAAAGGAAAGAAAGAGAAAAAGAGACGACAAAGATGGAAAAAGAAAGAAAAAAGTTGAGGAAGCTCTTGTTGAAACTTCACCTTGTTCTGTTTATTTATATATTCTGATTTTCCTCTATGAGTTGCCTCCATTTTCTCTATTAAGAACTTAAAAAAAATAAAATAAAATGCCATTATCCATCATCTCCAGGAAAACAACCCTTAGCTTTCCGAGAAGGAAGTTTGATTTTTTTTTTCCCTAGCTCTTTACTTTCTTAAGGGCCCTTTCTCGTCCTTTATCTGAAACCAGAAACTCATAACGTGACAAGACAGTACAAACCATGTCCCGCCGGCTCCCTGTTGGGCATTAATATTACAGAGGCAGTAACTGAACTTTTAGAGGCAAAATATTCCGCCATTCGGCATGTGCCTGCACGTAGCTTTCTTCTGGATAATTTGCAACTTCATTAGCAAGTTATGATTTTGACTTTTAAGAGCATATATACTTTTAACCCTATTCAAAGGTAATGAAAGCACTTGCAGTTGGACAGAAACCATGAGCGTTCTGCTTTTTTTTTTTTTTTTAATTATTATATATTTCCATTCCAATGTAAAGGAAGAGGAAGGAGAGAGGCGGGTGGAGTCATTTTTGGCCCCACTTTTCTCAGCTGCTCAAGCTGTTCTGGTTTATGTGCGTGGAGGCTTTCGGTGAGGAAGCTGGAAATACTGCGAGCTACATGCCTGTTTTAATTACTTCCACCTGAGCTGGGGGGCATCTCTGTCCCAAAGAGACTCACCAGTAGGGATGCTTCTGTCATTAGTAAGTTCAGTGTACACAAATCTGATTTGTGGAACATTTTCTACCGCCAGAATATCTGACGTGCCCCTCCCCTCTCGCCCCACTCAACTCCTCTGAAGGGGCTAAAGCCCAGTTTGAAAATCCCAGTCAGTTGTGTTCTTGTTTAGCAAGATGATCTTAAGCAGACATCACCACCTCTTTAGGGGCCCTATTCTCTTACTTGAAGATCCCAGTCTTCATCAAATACTAACGTTGGGGCTGATGTAGCTATTTTCAGTCACAGCTTCTTAAAATTAGTTAATTGGGAATCACAGCCTTTGACATTAACAGAACAAATTAACTGAAGCAGAGCGTGTTTTTCCTGGCAACAGCTGATTCTGGCATTATTTTACTCATTTGTCTTCTCCCCTCTCCTTGGACTAAGCTATTTTGCAACAGTCAAAAGGGGATAAGGGTGGGAGGAAGGGTCTCTATCCAAGGAAAAGCAAACTTCATTTGCCTCGTCACCCAATCCTCTCTTTAAAAAAATATATATTGGAAAACTGAAGTATGTTCTTTTAACTACCCTTGTCACCAAGTCTGATGGTGTCTTTTAAAAATGGCAAAACTGAATCATAGGAAAGGATTTGGCTTTTACCCCAACTCCTCCACATGACAGAAACGCAAGATGGAAACCAAGAAACGCTCCATCAGAGGACTCTCTGATGAGTGCCATCGCGAAGCTGGCACCCTGCTCTGCGTGGGCAGCCCCGGAGGGGCATCAGCACTGCCACAGGGTTTCCCACTCAGACCCATTCCGTGACTTATTCATTTCCCCCGACTTGACATGGCACCCTTGTGCCATGGCACCTTCCGGTCCCCCATTCTCCATAATTTACTGCTAAACCAACCATGGCAAAAGATACATAAATCCCTCTACACAAGGAGATAATTGTTGCACTCGTGGTCTTTTCTTTAAGGAAGTAAAAGCCATTTGGTTCTCTTTACAATTTAATCTTGTTTCAGACATTTGACGTTGATACCCTGCTGTGCTATATCTCTTTTACATATTTTATATGTTGATTTAATTGACAGTTGACACGGAACCCCTTTCACTTAGGGATAAGGTCTCCTTGTTTTGTTTTGTTTTGTTTTTCAGCCAGTCCCCCAAATTTTGAGTAAGGACAAACCCACGATTCTTATAAGTGTGTCTTTGCATCCCTAACATGAAGGTTTGGTGCCATGAAGGATGAAGCTGCTGAGAATTGAAGTCATGGGCTTAGGGTACATGGACAATTAAGCGACTTTGGGGACTAGCCTGTGTCCGACTCTCCCGCAATCATGTCCTGGAAACATCCTGATTTGCTCCCTCTTCAAGAGCCCTCTAAAAGTATGACTTCTCTTAGCAGCTGAGTATCATTTGGACAAATGATGAATTCGCCTTGTGATTTCTGATTTCAGCCATGAGGTTTCTTTTTTTTCCTTACTGTCCTTCCCCTTTAAAGAACAAATAAATAAATTTATGACTAGGTAGTCTGATTTTTCAGGGAACAGTTTTTATTTTTAGCGACTGGATTTAAAAGTTAAGCAAAAAAAAATTTTTAAGTATAAATGCCAAGAATAGAAACAACTTTGAGGTATTCTTTCTGATTCTTAATACTTCATGAATTTCATGAGGCTGCTGTGTCACAAAATTTGTTACTGAAATCCCAAATGTAATTAATAATTTGTTGCAGGTTTAACATGAGTTGTCATGATGCTTCATATATTTTAATGAAAACAGAAATGCGGCCATAAACTGTTCACTAAATAAAATATTCAATTTAATTTAAGCCCCTCAATTAACTATCCCATCAAAATCATTCAAATTCCACAACGATTCTGGTCGTAACATAATATTGCACTGAGGTGAATCGATGGTTAATGGCAAAGTTTTTCATTCTTCAGTCTTGGTTTCAATCTGGTTTAAGTGAAGGTAAAATTAGTCTGGTGGTTTCCTTCTTGGGTCTAGCAAACTTGAGTCTCCTTTACACAAACATCTCCATCCTGCCACAGTGCGAATGACGGGCAGCGTGTGTAGGTGAGGCCCGGGCACAGAACTGCAAGGGTTCTGAAGGTCAGAATCTGGGAGTTTTGCAGAGGTGTCGAGGTGGACTTCAGATTGCCTGTTTTGGATGTGTCCCCTATCTTACTTTTCCAAACATCTGATGTGGCAGGAGGATAGAAGAAAAAAGAAAAGAAGGAAGGATCTACATCAAACTAAGTACAAGCAACGTAAATGCAGACAGGCTGCAGGCAGTGGTAAATATAACAATATGCCGCTGTTAGCCCAGTGGTAACTGGCATTAAGTTAACGGAATACAACTGTTTCCACATCCCATGACAAATAATAGCAAATAGCTCTGTCATTGTTCTCTCTGGGGTTCTAAATTGCTAAGCTTCAGCCATTGCAGGGAAAGCCCTTCTGAGTTTCAAGATACCCAGCCCTGCCCCGGGCTTCACCTGATTGATAGAGGAAGACAGCCAAGACGGGAGTCTGGCACAAGAGCCACTGACCAGTGAAAACTGCACAGTAAATGATGATTATTCTTCCTGTGGCCAGTCGGCAGCAAACTGTCACCGGTTGGAATCTGCTGAATGTTCCTCTATACAAGTTGATGTCAGCTCAAAAAAGAAGAGAACAGAGCAGAAGAGAAAAGAGAAAGAAAAGCGAACTGCACCCGGTGTAAGCAGCCAGGCGCACACAAGCTAGTACTGCTCTTTCATCATGCCCTCTTTTGTCTCCGTCGCTGTGAGAGAAGAGTGATTTTCCAGGGAAATCCTTCACATGCAGACAGTTCTGGTTAGATGGCATGTTTTTCAGTGACTTCAGAGATCCATAGCACGGACAGCTCATTCTCGGAGTGTGCTGCTCGGATGAAATTTAGAGGTGAGAGAGCCACAATTCATGGCTCTGAGCTGCCGGGTGCTTCTTCCTCCCCTCTGACTTATCAGCTACTGTGAAAGACTAGAAGCGAAATTTAGCTTACAAGAGTTGCTTTAGCTGATAAACAGCCAGGAAATTAAACATGAAGTTGTAAACACTGCATCTTTCACTCAGAATGTGCCTTAAATGCTTACCTCCAGCAGTATGAGAAAGGGAGTTGAGGACTTAGCTGAGGGTTTGATGGCTTTTGTCTGCCTGACATAACTTTATTGCTGCTTAAACACAGAATTTTTAAATGCCCAACACTGAAATCCTTTAGCTCACCAGAGCCAACATACTGTAACCATTGTCTGGGGGAACCTCTGAAGCTAAACACGTATTTACACCCTTTAGTTGCCAAATGAAATCCATCTGGCTTACTAAATGCTGTTGCCAAAAGAATATTCCACTTTTGGTCTGGCCGGTATTTTTAAGTGTGGGAGGAGGGGGACAGTGTTGGGAGGGCATTGGCTTGAGAGAATCTGTATGTGTATTGATGCCCTATTACCTGTACGTGGATGAAGCTGAGATCACTTGGCAACTGTGATCAAAAATAGAAGAATTCCTACCTAGGGCAAAGTCTAAAGCCACAAGGTA